TTTATATCATATTGAGAATAATATTTAACAATAATTCATAAATATCATTAATTTTTTGACAAGTCACACCACAAGCCATTTCAACCCTTTTCTTTCTAGAGGGTTCCAAGAGGTCCACAGAATGACTTAAATATTTAAATTAATAAATCGATACTAATATATTAAAATAACCTAAAATCAAGATGTATACTTAAAAGATGCATAATTATTCCTGTTCTCCCCTCAATAACGGTTGATTTTGTTCAAGAACATACAGTTTTTGAAAACAAAATGAATTGTGCTTAATTTATTATATTACTATATCTGTTAATAAAAAAAGTTTAAAAACAAGCATCTTTGTCATGAATGCAGTTAAAATACCTGAACATTTGGAATTTTGTCACAATGGTCGAAAACCACTACTCTATGACATAATTTCCTGTTTTTTTTTTCTTTTGTGTTTCTGCATGTTGGCTGCCCCACATTCATTTTCACTTTTAATTTATGCATTCACACATTTGCTTGTATGATCTCAGAGCAGTAAACACGAGCTAAACCAGTTACGCACTGCCATGCTTGCAGTGTGAAATTCTGTTTAGTACCAGAACGACAACAAGATGCTCTGCCAGCTGGCTTTGTGGCATTATGATGGATGGAGGTTTTCCCCTCGCAAATGCACATTTGACATTTGTATGGTCTGTCTGAGAATAGACAAATCAGCGAATCTCCATCCAATTCTGCATTCCACAGAGCTGCAAAATAAGACAAGAAGACTACTTTGAGTGTTTGATTCAGTCTTGGAGGGAGGAGGAGGAGAGAGGAGAATGAAAGTCGAGTTGAAAGACTCCTGCTTTAAAGGCCAAACAGGCCGCATTGGCTCAATCAGCTCTTTGTCTTCTGCACAGGCCTCTGTGTGTCCCGTCGAGGGCTCGGCCCACAAAGCTGCCAAAGTTATGCTGTTGTATAGCGAGAAGAGTTTATGACTTAAGCATTTGGAACGCTTTCAATGCCTTTTCCCTTGTCCGAATGCAGTTTCAGTTCCCTCGCTGGCGTTCGACTGGGGATTTCCTAAACAGAAAGTCTGAATGGGGCTTTGCCCTGTTTTAGAGCGAGAATGTGGTTTTCTGAGTTGCAGCCTTATTAGTGAGAACTACCGAGACGAGATTACAGGCACTGGGCAGGCTGAGCCGTCCAACGAGTGAGGCTGATGCTTTTACAGTGTGCCCACACAAGCGATTCGATTAATCACGAGTCGGTGCCAACACTTTGACGGGACTATTTGATGTTCCCTTTCCTCTGTCAGTATTTTCTGTTACGTCACAGTTAGGAGTGGAACGGTTCAACTTTCTCACGGTTCGGTTTGCATCACGGTTTTAGAGTCACGGCTTTGGTATGGTTCGGTATTTGTGCTATGTTTAGGCAAAAACTATACTGTCAAATAAAAATAAAGAAAATAAGAATAATCTATCTAACTACAAGCAACAGCACAAATAAATACAATAAAGTAAAGATACAAAAAAAGTTTTTTTTTTTTAGGTAACATTAGTTTTCAGGTACAGAAATTGAATAAAGTAATGAAATGTAAAACAGCATTGTGTATCTGACTGTATAAATTAAAGATCACTCTTTATTAAAGTTACAAAAGCTATTCAATCAAGAGCAGTGAGTGATTTCTTGGTTGTTGCTGTTTGATTAGTATTAAGAAAGTGCTGTCACTTTAAGAGAATGCACTGTTCAGCCGGCTATGTCTGCTATAGGATACTTACCAAGACGGGAATTTTTACATAATTTTTGTCTGAATTTGTCCATTTAAACTCAATACTTCAGAGAAAGCTTAATATTTACGTGCGTTCTGAGGCGCGGGTTTGCGCACTTCGGAGGAGCGCACTCACAAATCTTATGACTGCGCGCACGAGCTCGCGTCCTCTGGCTCTTAAATGTTTAAAGGGGTCATATGATGTTGCTAGAAAGAACATTATTTGGTGTAATGAAATGTGCTTATGCGGTTTAAGGTTAAAAAAACACATTATTTTCCACATACTGTACATTGTTTCTTCTCTATGCCCCACCTTTCTGAAACGCATCGATTTTTACAAAGCTCATCGGTCTGAAAAGTGAGGTGTACTCTTATTGGCCAGCTATCCAGTGCGTTGTGATTGGGCGAATACCTCAAACGTGTGACGGAAATGTTACGCCCCTTACCATATTGTGATGCCTTGTCCCGGCTGGAGCGACGAGACAAAAACATTAAAACCCATTATAAACTAGGCATTTCTTGCATCCAGTGGGGATATAATTACGGATTATAATGACTTATACTGTCTTTTTACGCGTTGCGTTGCATCGCGCCACATAAACCTAAAACCATGTCTGCATTTGTGATCGGAGAAATGACAAACAACAAGCGCTACTCTACACTGCTCAAAACTCGCGTTTGAATCGTCAGTGACAAATTATTTAAATAAAAAAAAATGTACTTACAGTCTGTGAGTCAGAACAGCCGACATTATAGTCTACTCTACCAGGATCAGGAAACAGTCCTCCATAAAATGCGCTGGACACATCGGCATATTTGGGGTGAAGTGTTCTGGAACAGTGTTGTAAATACAACTTAACCACTGATTTCTAGTCGTGTCCTCTTTCACAACGAAACACACAGCATCACACACGGCGGGCTAGAGTGAGCGGAAGCCGGCTTGAGTGAGCAGAGGCGGGTGGGCTTGAGAACAGCGCGGCCGGCGAATTCGACGAAGGAGCGGCTGGCGGGCTTGCGGCAACCACATGTGACAACCCCAGGCTGGACTCCGCTTCGTCCAAAAGCTTAAACGAGATTAGCTTAAACACAGAAATCAACGTGTGCTGTTCAGGTCTCACCTGTGCGCGCGCTATCAGCACCCCGGTGATGACGGAATAAATGCTCCTATTCCAGCATACGGCAGTTGCACTGAACAAGAGTGAATGGTTTGTCCACTTTTTTTGTTGTTGTTGTAATGTATTGGGAAGCCAGAATGCACATCCATCAACAGAAACATATATTAGCCGAACCCTGTCTATTTTACATGTTATTTATAGCAAACCATCTTACAGATGCGTTGTCAGATTTAAGTTGAACCATGGTCCTAGCACGTGCCGAACCGTTTGTGGAGAACCGTATGGTTCGATTTTTTTCCGCCAACCCTTCCACCCCTAGTCACAATAGACAGACTATTACAGCCTGGACAAAGGCAGTCAGTCAAGACCTTCTGGCACTCTTAAAGCGTCTGCTAAATGATTAAATGTAAATGTAAATGTACTTCGTTTTTATCCCTCTCTGTCCTTTAATGACCAAAGTTAACTTTCTTCGCGGTAATGAGAGCAGGAGTGGAGGTTGCCATTAAGGAAGCAGGCGATCATGTATCAATGTATTGCGCAATTAGAAAAGAATTAGCTCTGGGCCACTTTCTAACCCAAATCCTGTCAGCAGTAAGTGCTAATTTCCAATAAACCATGTGTGCATGACAAATACATTTGACCGGACTGTGACAGCAGATGTCCAGATGGTGTGAAAAGCAAGTTAATTAATCTCTGTGTTATTTTATCAATTGGAATAAATCTATAAAGGCATTAAGAAGAGTAAAAGGTCAGAAGAGTCTGTTAGGGATATATGTGACTGTATATAAGCTGCGTGTGCATTTGGCAGTCGCATTAAACATGACTGCTGGAGAACTGTGGCGCGTGGCAGCTAACTGCAAGAAAGAGCACAAATATTGACTTCCTTTCTCAATTCTGTTTGACAAACTGAAATCGGGTAAACCTACCCAGGCGAGCTGCCGGGAGGGCAGTAAAAGGGCTGGAGCTTTTTAAAGGTTGACTTACTGTGAGGCTGTAGGCACAAGCTAATAGCATATATTTGTTTTTGTTATTGAACGGCAGCTTTTTCAGAAGAATTGGCACTGTCAATGCTGGAACCTTTTCTGAATAGATTTTGTAGTGCTGTAGTTTTCAATTATTATTTGTCCTTTTAATGACCAAATTCGTCTGGTCATTGACTGGCGTGCCTCTACCCAACAGTTGTCTTTAGAGCATGCTTGATATTGTTGTTCACCTACATGTTTATTAATGTAATTGTTTAGGTCTTTGTTTAGGCTGGTCTTTTTCATCTCCCATTTAGTCAGCCAGCTGGACTCCCAGACTGAAAAGTGGCCAAAAAATGTAAAACCAGCAAACAGACTTAGACTGGTTTATGAGTTTATTTTCTTCCCCAGCTGTAAACATCATGAACTTAACATTTTCAGTTAAGCAAAATCACACAAGCACGATCTACCTGTACTGTATATTGATTATATTATATTTTTTATGTATTCATCAGTATTGGATATATCTGTAGAAATTGTATATTTAAGTTCATGTTCATTTTTACATTTATATCATCTTGAAAGAAAGAAAGTTCTGTCATCTAATCCTCCGTTAAATTTCAATTTAAAAAACACTAATAATTGAATAACACTGTGAAATGTAATCTTTAGTAAATTTTAAAATTAATATCCATTTTTTAATGCTGTACATTTATAGTGATGTCTGAATTCAAGTGAAGTTAATTTAATATGACATATTTTAGTGTTTAGTGTTTTATTTTTGATTTATTTTGACAAAACAGTGCAGAATTTTATTATTGGACATTTATAGTCCGTATATTTAATTATCAGCCATAGCATGAAAATAATGATCAGCTTTCTGACATATTTGTAATACCATTGCTTAGAACTAACTTTTGTATAGTAAAAAAGTTTAAAGAATACATTTATATGTCTATATGTAATATGAAATCTATAAAATGTATAAAAAAAAACAATTACAAATTGTAATTTACAATTCATAAAAGATAAAATTGTATTGTAGTATATTAGCAGTAATATTAAAGGGGTAGTTCATCCAAAAATGAAAATTCACCCATCATTTACTCGCCCTCAAGCCATCTTAGGTGTAATGATTATTCTCTGGTACTGTTATTGTGAGTCTGACAGCTGCCGCCTTGTTTCTAGTTTACTATCGGGCACTGGTGAACTTCACAAACTCATTCCAGTATGGGCCTGAACTTGATGACATCTACTCTCCTGCTTTCATAGAGATCTCATCTGCTGTTGTCGATACGGTATGTGCATCTACTAAATGACTGTGAGCTTAAGAAATACGTTAAGAGAGTTTTCACCGTGATAATTAAGGGTGTGCTCCATCTGCCGATTGGTTCATATTATTGATCTCATGCCTGTCCTCTGATTTTTAATTTGTTTTGTCTATACTGTGTTAATGTTTAAATCAGTATTTAGCTGTAAAACTAGAATATCATGCACAGAGACTGAAGTACTTTGTAAGGCAAGGCCAGTATGTGGTGATTAATGGTGTTTATTTTCTCCACAGCTTGAGTCTGACTACAACAGGATACCAGGACAGCAGACAGTCAATGTGGTTCTCATTAAGTAAACTCCATTTTCAATTTCGAACACTAATGTAATAGTGCATCTTCTAATGTATAAGCATAGTCGGTTACCTTTATAATCATTAGGGAATTAATTTCAAATAATTCATTTCAAATAGTCAAATACTCAACTCCTGTTTTTGACAGCAACACAAACAGCAAAACAGCAAACAGACCAGACTTGGGATACCAACAAACCATCTTAAGTTGTTTTTTGTGGTTGGTTTGTTTGGACTGTTGTTTTGATGAACTGTGCTCTGTGTACATTTGCAGGAAAATTGACAAAGATGTGTTTGTGGAGCTGGACGTCGGCTCGGATAATAACTCTAATGAAACACAGATCAGTGATGTCCTGTTCTCAGTGGTTAAAGACGGCACTATTGCCTCTTACGATACCTCAGTAATAGGCTTCCAGTTCAGACGGCTTGGAGAAGGTATGTTCCGTTTTTTTATAGTTTGATTTGATAATATTAATATTTATTTATAAACAAACAGTATAGCAGACACTATATTTGCAGTCTTATAAATTGCAGAATAATTTAGAATGATAATAATTTAGAATGATGATGATAATAATAATAATAATAACATTAATAATAGTAATAAACCAAATAACATTTTATCATCAAAATCATCAGATATTGACAGACATTTTGCAGGTTTATAAATTTCTGAATAAGAAATTAACATGCATCTTCATCATCATCATCATCATCATTATTATTATTATTATTATTACTATTATTATAAACAACAAAAATTACCTTGACCAGTAATAAACTCTTATATTAATAACAGATGGCAGAGGAAATGGGATAAATGCCACAGAAATACGTTATATGAAGTAACTCGTAGAATAAGTAATTCCAAATCTATGTATGAACAGGTTCTTTTTACTAGGAGTCATTTAGGTTATTCAAAATGCACACCTTATTTATTGAAAGGTGAAGAAACACCATCATGCCTTCATAACACTAACTTTGTCTGTTATTCACTTTGTTCTCTTCATGAAGATAGCCTTGCTGCTGACATGGCGTTATAAAAAAGAATAATAATAACAACAATAATAATCATTCTGATAATGTGTTAAAATTAACTTGCATTTTTACCCTTGTATTTTACACTTTATGGTTTATATAACTATTAATTATTGCAGTTCTGTAAAGAACTAGTCATCATTCAACAATGTAGTATAGATAATGTTGTCTGGTTATGGTCTGGTTCATAGCTGATACTCCTCCTCCTGTGGAGCCCATCGTTGTGCCAGGTTTGTCCTCAACCAGGTCTGCTGCATGGAGACAATAATGCATTAGAACACAGTCCAGTCTTGTTTACTTAGGACAACTGAAGGAATTCGCTGCATATGTAGTGGCTGTATAAAGAATGAAACCTATATGCATGTGTGCACTATGATGAAGACCTGAGTATGACCAGAAGAACAAAAGGCTTTGCATGGCTTGTCTTTGATTTGAAATGAAGCTGATGTCAGGAATGCACCTATCTTGGAGTATCATTTTCAGACGATGTAACTTGTTTGTGTTTGCAATATCTAGTTTTGTTTTTCATATGTGTTGGGTTTGAAGTTTTTCCAGTCCAAGCTTTCCATATTTTTACTTTTTACAGATTAAGGTACCAGATAAGACAATTCAGGACTGAATAGAAAAGCCAGAATTATACAGATTTACACTTTAGCTTTGTTCACATTGCACATAAATCTGATTAGATTTTCAAATCCAATCTTCAGGACTGACTGTCTACAGTTTGTAAAAGAAAAAAAAGAAAACTGACCTGACCTGACCTTCAGACTGTGCATTACAAAAGCAACAAAAAAATCTATCTTTAATTGGATTCAAGCCAAATTGGCTTCTTTCTTTTTTCTTTCTTTCTTTCTTTCTTTCTTTCTTTCTTTCTATTAAGACTATAAAAGCTAAACAGATTTTGTGTTGGAAGCGGATTTTCATTGCCTGTGTGAACAAAGCATTTTTGTATCCTCTTGAAATGGCAGGTCCTGCATGGCAAGGCTTGCAGTGAATCATTGAAACATCTTTCAACAAAGCGTCATGTACAGTTTTTCTTGGATCACTGCATTGCATACAGTGCGTCACAGCATTGAATATGTGTCTCTACCACCTCAGTGATTCCCAGTGCCAGAGATTGCTTGTCAGATGAGTTCAGATGTCAGGATGGGCTTGCGTGTATCCCTGTGGAGTATGTGTGTGACAAACGGCCTGACTGTAGTGACTTGAGTGATGAAATGAACTGTGGTGAGTGAGATTGCTTCCTCATTTATCTCAGAAATGAGTGTCATTGCTTTGTTAATTTAACTGACTAACACCATCTAAATGCACTTTTTTGATATCATCCATAAAATTTATATTATTTTTAATATATATTTGTATTTTATTCAATTTTTGGCAATGAAACATTTAATACATTGCATAGGATCTTGTTTTTTTTTCAATAATATGTAAATAAATCAAACAAAATATTGACCTTTAAAGGTACTTTTTGTAGTGTATATTCAGTGCTTTACGATGCTTGACACCGTAATGGCTTTAAATGGATAGTTCATCCAAAAATGTAAATTAGCCCCTGATTTACTCACCCTCAAGCCATCCTAGGTGTATATGACATTCTCTTTTCAGAGAGTTATATTAAAAAATGTTCTGGCTCTTCCAAGCTTAATAATGGCAGTCAATTGTGGTCGAGATTTTGAAGCCCAAAAAGTGCGTCCATCCATCACAAAAAGTGTTCCACTCGGCTCCAGGGGGTTAAAAAAGGCCTTATGAAGTGAAGCGATGCATTTGTGTAAGAAAAATATCCATATTTAAAACGTTATAAACCGTAATCTCTAGCTTCGGCTAACTATCGTACACATGTTCATAAGAGAGTGCCGTTCCAGCGGATGACGTAGAGAACATGCTATAGTCTCACGAGAACCAAGTTTTGTTTACAGCTAACGTAAACCAGTTTCCTCTTGACTTGTATCAAAATCCTCTGACATTTTCCTTTACAAATCCTCATCTAATTCATGACCGGTGTTTTGTTTTGCTCTCTCCTCTGCGCTTCCGCATTTGTCTCTTCTCACCAGAGCTTACGCTACGCCTACGTCATTCGTCATCCGCTGGGAACACCGCTCTCTCGTGAAAGCGTTTACGACAGTTAGTGGAAGCTAGAGATTACGGCTTATAAATGAAATATGGATATTTTTCTTACACAAATGCATCGATTCACTTCATAAGGCCTTTTTTAACCCCCCCGGAGCCGCGTGAAGCACTTTTTTTGATGGATGGACGCACTTTTTTGGGCTTCAAAATCTCGACCACAATTGACTGCCATTATAAAGCTTTGAAGAGCCAAAAATGAAAATCATGGGGTAATTTTCATTTTTGGGTGAACTATTCCTTTAAATTGTTAGCATATATTTATTTTCATTTGTGTTTTTAATGAATTGACAGCCCTAATTATATCATTTATTTTCAAAGGTGTTCCTGTACGCCCTACTCCACCTACGCCTCCTAAAACCAGACCCCCACCTGGCCCAGGACCCTGCCGTGCAGACCAGGCTACCTGTCAGAACGGACAGTGTATCTCACGGGATTACGTGTGTGATGGTGAAACGGACTGCACTGATGGCAGCGACGAGTTCAGTTGTGGTAGGACAAATGTGTGCTGTAAAACACAAGTGTGCAGTAGGACACAAGTGTGCTGTAACCATCACATTTACCACATAATTAAAACCATTTATTTATAATCAAGTATGTTATGCTGGTGATGATATTTGTCTGAACTCTGCATTTACTATACAACTATATTTGTAATTGCAAAGGAACTCAGTCTCCCTGTGAACCCAATGAGTTTAAGTGTCAGAACGGCCGCTGTGCCCTGAAACTGTGGCGTTGTGATGGGGATAATGACTGTCAGGACAACTCAGATGAGATGAACTGCCGTAAGTCAGACACGAGCTTTCATCCACAGATGGAAACCTGTTACACAAAAACTCACTTTGCTAATAATTGATTTTTTTTTTTCTTGTTCCTTCAGCCACTAAACGTCCAGGGGACACATGTGCCCCAGAGCAGTTTGTGTGTTTGTCTGACCGCACATGCATTCCTGCCAGTTACCAGTGTGACGAGGAGCCGGACTGCGCCGACCGCTCTGATGAATATGGCTGTGGTAAGGCATTACAATCAAATGAATCTTTAACAAGTAAACATTGATTGTCATGTCATTCCAAACACTATAACTCTTTTGTCTCCACTTATTTTTCACTGTCATACTCACTTTGACTTCCAAATCCTGAAAATGGTGTATTTATGGTCTGCAAAGAAAGATTCATGTCCACCAGCTTGTTTTGTCTCTCTCATACAGCTTTTCAGTAACATATAGATCTCATATCCCTTATATCTAGCACTTGTAGCTTGTTTAACAGGCGGCTTTGGTATTGTTTCTGCCAGCAGTGCCTCCGGGCTCTGGCTGGCTGATCTCACTGAATGAATCTGCCAAATAAAACTTTTGCTGCTGTCCCAGGCTGCCAATTTAGAATCAAAGACTTGCTGCGTGTTTGGTTTCTTGTGTCCATATGTCTCTTTTACCATGTTAGCATTCATGTAATACAGTAAAATATGTAGATTGAAGTTGATTGTACTGTAAAATGATTATACTATGCATTCTCTTTCATTGTACCCAAGCACCTCCCACTGTGACCGTCCCGCCAGAAGAGTCCATCACAGCAGCGCGGGGAGACACTGTGACCTTTACTTGTTCTGCCATTGGTGTGCCTGTTCCCATCATCACATGGCGTCTTAATTGGGGACACTTACCAACCAATAGCAGGTAGGTTAGGATGTAATAAGCATTGTGGATTAAAAACTCTGAAATGATCAAGATCACAATCTACAGTCCACAATCTATGTTGAAGTCATAGAGTCCATATTCTCTTAAAGGCTGAATAAACGCAAAGTTAAGAATACTTGTGGTTTCATCCATTCCTATTGTATTCCCAGAACTCTCTTTGCTGAACTCTATAATGAATAACTTCAGCACTAGTCTAAGTGAAAACAGAGGGCAATACTTCATGTACTCAATAAGAAACAGACTGTTGTATTTTGGCAAAAAGGTTGTGAACTGTCTCTTTTCCAATTATTGAATCTCAGAGGAGATCGTCTTCTGATGTTGCTTCTTTGCCATTATTATTTGTCATAATAATTATTAGACATTATTAATATATAACCAGAGAATGATATTTAATTTGCTCCTTCTGTGTATTCATTTCTAGGCTATTGTAGGTTTTTTCTGTCAAAAGCAAAAAATTGTTTTAGCTTTTTTTAAGGCAAAGTTTTTGTATTTGTCTTTCATAACCAGATTTTTTTTTTTTTGTTAATTTCTTTATTGGATTTTTCTACATGGACTAATAATTATACAGATAGCAGACCCATTTGTCACAAGTTACATTTCCAAAGGCACTTCAATTAACAAACCCCCAAATAATTACGTAGAATAAAACAGAAAATATAATACACCGCAAAAAACAAACAAACAAAAAAACACACACAGCACAAATGTATAATTAAATAATTAATATTAAAATAATAAATTAAAATAAGTTGAGTAGGCTCCTGAGTCATGAGCATGAATATGTATGTTTTTAAACTAGGACTGTTAGTAGAATGTGTACATTTTATTGCAATAAATTATTATTAATTAAATTAACACATTAAACAAGCACATCATTATTTCGTTGGAACCATTCACATAGGACGCATTCTTTCATTAAAAAACAGCTTGACAGAGGACAAGGAATGAAACTGAATGCTGGGGTCTCGAAACTGCCCTAATTTAAACATGATTCTATTGACAGAATCACAATGAGCAATGAGAATGGGCGAGGAACGATCACCATCCGTGACGTGAAGGAAGGTGACCAGGGCGCGTACACCTGTGAGGCCATCAACGCTAAAGGCCTAGTGTTTGCCATTCCTGATGGGGTCCTCAGCCTGTCTCAGAGACCAAACCCAGGTACTGCACCAGCTCCATATGGTGCGAACATCTTTGGATTACTGTGTATTCTGTATTATATGTTTGTTCTCATCTGAAGCATTCTTTTGCGAAGAAAGATGTCATCTTTTATTTGCGAGACACAGGTTATCCTACTGTTTTTTGACCTTATGATGTGACATTGTGGTCTCATGATGACTGTGATCCAGCTCAAAACTGACGGTGGTGGTCTTACCATCCTTTGTCTTCCATGTCGTTCTTGTCCAGTTGTGTCATCCTCTCTGTACGTGTTAGCAGGTAACTGCCGTGATGGGCACTTTAGCGTGGGCGGTCACTGCATGCCATGCTTCTGTTTTGGCATCACAAAGAACTGTCAGAGCACCGGTCGCTACCGCAGCCAAATCACACTGCGCTTCACAGAGGAGGATGACTTCAAAGGTACTCAACTGATTCAAAATTCGGAGTTTTCCATTTATGTTTATGGATTTACAATTGGAGAATGTAGATGTTGTGGCAACTTTTGGTGTCATCTTGTGTGTAACACATGATATTTATCACTAACCCTGTAAAGCCTGGCATATGAAATATTAGTCAGATTTTTTTAATGGAACAGTTTGACTGTTTAGACATAATATATAAAAAATATGCAAAAATATGCAATTCGGTGCAGTTGCTAATATTTTTATGGCCAAAAAGATGAATTTCAGTTAGCTTGTAATCTTGTAAATTTTATAACTATATAGCAGATTGCTTAGATAAAATGCATTTAAATATCAGATGTCACTCCATATCTCAGTACTATGTCTTTGTAGAATTATATTTACACGCTTTGATCAAAGCTCTATATTTTTAATTGTGGGGGGCAAAACATATTTTAAACAAACATAATGCAATGCAAAACAATGATGATTGATAGATGTATAAATAAATGTTCATCAAAAATGTGATATTTGATAGACACAATTTAGCACAATTAAAAAAAAAAAAAAAAAGATTGTATGAATAATCAAGTAAACCTAAGTTGCTTTAGTCCAGTAAGTGTTCATCTTGAAATATTACTAAAAGAATAAAAGCTATTCTTATATTTACTTTATTAAAACCTTTACAAATTTCATAGCAAAAAGAGACGTGCAACCATGACCTAAAGGTGGACGTTTTTAGAATAATACTAATAAAGTATAAACTGTCAACTAAAAGGCATGCAGTAGATTATGTACAACAGGTTTTTCAATAAAGATTTGATCGTGTTTATAATTTAGAGGCCTTAGAGATTTGCATATCAAATATGATACAGTAGGTTTTATTGGGGTTAAAGTAACAAATAATACACTGGGATATACGAAAATATGGTACACTACTTTTCTCTTGTCTTTTTTTTTTAATCCACAGGAGTCAATGTGTCACTTCCGAATCATCTAAGCACTCCACCACATCTCTCCAACACTCAGATGTTGATCAATCCAGAGAGTGAGGAGTTCCAGCTAGTGGATCTGTCTCGCCATTTCCTCGATCAAGACACCTATTGGTCTCTGCCTCGCCAGTTCCTGGGCAACAAGGTTTCTCTCCCCTCCTCACTACTCTACTGAACAAATATAGATAGGAGGTCAATAAAACATTGACTAATCCGTATCTTCCTGGTTTTGCTCAATCCCATTTCCATCTTCTCCTTATCATTTGCTGTCTCTTCTCTCACTGTCACTGTGATGTGGTAGCTAGATTGTCTTGGGAAGCATGTGTGAAATATGTATTGAAGCTCTTCGACGTCTTGGTATTCTGGACACTGTGTCTGTGTTGTGCAGGTCGACTCGTATGGAGGTTATCTGAAGTTTAAGGTGAGTTACTCACTGCAGCGAGATGGATCGCAACCGAAGGAGAAACCTGATGTTGTGCTGAGCGGCAACGGGCAGAAATATATTTACCGCAGAGGCGACCCCACTTTACCTGACACAATCAACCATAGAGAGATCAAGTTTACAGAGGTGAGCCACATATGTGAAATGCATAAGTATATAAAATATATTTTTATAAGATATATGCACACTATCATTCAAAGATGTGACAGTTTTTTGTTTTTGAAAGAAGACTCTTTTGCTCACCAAGGTTACATTTATTTGATAAAAATACAGTAAAACATTAATATTGTTAAACATCATTATTACAATGTAAAATAACTGCTTTCTAATTTAAAATATTATAATGTAATTTATTCCTGTGATATTAAAGCTGAATTTTCAGCTGCCATTACACCAGTCTTCAGTGTCACATGATCCTTCAGTAATCATTCTAATATGCTGATTTGCTGCTCAAGAAATGTTTCCTATTATTAATATTACAGTTGAAAATGGCTTAATTTTTGTGGAAACTGTGACACTATTTTTCCCAAGATTATTTAAGTAGAAAGGTCAAAAGAACAGCATTTATATGAAATGGAACACTTTAGTAATATTAAAAATGTCTTTAGTGTCACTTTTTTTTATCATTAATAAAAAAAAAAAAAATTACCTACCCCAGAATTTTGAACTGTATTGCGTATATAATTTTTATTTGAATTTTATTTTGTTTTTATTTTGTATTGTAATTAACAGTTATGCTTTGAAGTACTGAGAAAAAAACTTGAAGTCATAACCATGGCATACACTTGCTGTTGACAAGAGATGCTGACAGTACAGACAGAAAAATTTGCAGTATTGCCAGCTCTACACTGCTAAAACATTTGTGTAAGACTGACAAATAAAACTGTATTAATACCATGTACCATAAAAAACAAACAAATAGTGATTCTTAAAAGATAATCGTTTTGCAGCAGTGTTGCTTGTTAGTGTTATTCACCTCTCTGTCTCTGTGTCTCAGGAAAACTGGCAGCACTCTTCAGGACGAGCAGTAACTCGTGATGACCTCATGATGACCTTGGCCAATTTGGAGAGCATCCACATTCGCACCATTTATGACAACCGCATGGCCAGTGTCGGTCTGAGTGACATCAGCATGGATACCACCAGCAAAGAATTCACCCTGCAGGAGAACCCGAGAGACGTGGAGGAGTGCAGGTTAGTGTGCCTTTAAATCAACAGATAGGATTACAGGCCTGTCAGAACATATCAAGCTCCTCTTAAATCACCTCTTTTTTGTCACTTTAAAAATTCTGTGTGAAAGTGTTAATCTGTGCGAATTGTTGATCTCAAACAGATGTCCTGCTGGGTATTCAGGCCTGTCTTGTGAGTCCTGCTTCCCTGGTTTCGAGCGGGCACCTGGACCCTACCTGGGCATCTGCGCTGGCTGTTACTGCAATGGTCATGCCAGTGCCTGCGACCCTATTAGTGGACACTGTCTGGTAAGGATAAGGGTTTCTATGCATTATAAATATGTAGATAGCTAATACACTACATCAGTTAGTAGATAACTGTACATCACACACTGACGTGTAAATGCCATGTGACAGAGTTGTCAGCATAACACAGAAGGACCTCAGTGTGACAAATGCAAGCCTGGCTTCTTCGGTGACCCAAGTCGAGGACGATATGATGACTGCAAACCCTGTCCTTGTCCATACACAGAGACTTCTCGACGGTAAAGATATCATACCTTTGTACATAATATAAAAATTATCTAAAATAATATGTAATAATAGAATAATGTTGTTCTGAAAATGAGCTTTATCTTTTTTTTTAATTATTTAACATGATATAATCTAAATGATTTATAATAATAATAATTTAATTCTGAAAATAATAATTTACATTATTTATTTTTTTTACTTATGATTATATATTATTAGTATTAATAATAGTAATAGTAATTTAGATTATTTGAATGGAATCCTGACAAAACATCTTTGTGAAATGTTAAACTGGTCTGTTGATTTGTTCAAAGGCTTTCAGATACTTGCTTCCTGGACCATGACAACCAGGCAACATGTGACGCCTGCAGACCCGGTTACACAGGGCGACGTTGTGAGAAGTAATGGAGCAGCTCTTTTGCATATTGTTGTTTTAACACTACATTTTGTGGTGCTGAGTGCATAAGAAATATGTCATCATCTGCATTTTTCTTTTTTTCTTTTTTGCCACAGATGTGCTCCAGGATATGATGGCAACCCTATTCAGCCCAATGGCAAATGTGTTCCTGCTGCTAGCCGTGAGCATTTTTCCTTCATTTTTGTTTACAATTGTGGTAGTAAATGATTTATTAGATTAATATTAGAGGCAAGATTTATTTACTCGCCTTTAGCTATTTCTTTTCTTGGAATTTCTGCCTCATTTTACCCTGAAGGTCAAGTGAAGCTTTAGATAATGATTAATACTCAGTGCACTGTATGCTGCAATGCCAGCTGTTCGTGGCCAGGATGTTCAAAGCATTCCAGGTGTAATTGGCAACCATATGGTGTTCTTGTCCCTGTTCAGTGATTTCCAAGTGTGACAACAGAGGAACCATCAATCCCATCAGCAAACCATGCTACTGCAAGGTATTAAATTGCACTACAGTTAGTTTTTAAATACACCTCCATTAGGAAGTTTGGAATCGGACAGATTTGTGCTCATACCTAGGCTGCATTTATTTGGTCAGAAATACAGTAAAGCAACTGTTTTCTATCTTTATATATCTTTATATATTTATATGTAATGTATTTCTGTGAAGGCAGAGCTGAATTTTCAGCAGCCGTTACTCCAGTCTTCAGTGTCACATGATCCTTCAGAAATCATTCTATTGTACTGATTTGCTGCTCAAGAAACATTATTATCAGTGTTAACAGTTGTGCTGCTTAATGTTTTTGTGGAAAGTGTGATGCATTTTTTCTGGATTCTTTGATGAATAGAAAGTTTGAAAGAATAATATTTATTTGAAATGGTTATCTTAAAAATGATAAATGTCTTGTCTTTAACTTCAATTTAATGCATCCAGGCTAAATAAAAGTATTAATTCTTTAAAAAAAAAAAAAATTCCTACTGACCCCAAGCTTTGAATGGTAGTGTATAACAATTTCAGTAGAATATAAATATTCAAACAGTGTTGGATCTTCTGTTGTGCAGGCCAATGTGGTTGGTGCTCTTTGTGATGAGTGTAAGAATGGCGCTTTTAATTTGGCAGCTGATAATCCTGAAGGTTGCATGCAGTGTTTCTGTATGGGAGTTACAAAACAGTGTGCCAGTTCAACCTGGAGCAGAGATCAGGTAACCACATCCTCTAATCTTGTTATAGTTGTACCTGTAAGTGATTTTGAATGGTTGTTTTAATGTTTTTTTTTTTTTACATATTTGTTGGTTAATCTGAAGGTTCGAGGTGGTGTCAATGGCCAGCTCTTCACCCTTTCCAATGCAGCAAACACTAGGACCATCTCTGAGGGCATCACCCAGAGAGCAAGTTCAGAGGTGGTCTACCGATCCTTCACCAGTATCCCTACTGACATCTACTACTGGGTCCTGCCTCAGAATTTTAGAGGGGACAAGGTGAGAACATCCAATGCAATACAATGCCATATGTACAATTTGACCTTTGTCAGGTAATATGACACATGTCAGTGTGCTGTTTTTCAAAACTTGTTTTTCTGTCCTGTGTAAAGGTCACAACATATGGTGGAGAACTGCAGTACAGTATGCATTATGAGCCACAGGCTCGTTCACTAGTGATTGATAGACGACCTGATGTGGTTCTCCAAGGCAGCAGCATCGTCCTGGAGCATTATTCACTGACCAAACCACTTCCTAGAGTACCAGCCACAATCACCGTGCCTTTTAGAGAGGTGTGTTGCATATATATATATATATATACACACACAGTGTATATACTTATATTTACTTCTCTTTCTTGGGTGTTTGGTACAAAGTATCATTTTTAATTTAAATTACATATTTTGGAGCTGTATTTAATAATGTATTAATTGTATGTTTTTTGTTTACTACTTTTTACTACTACTTTTACTACTACAAACAAATAATAATAGCAATTTGTTGCTTATAAAAATAAATTTTATTTTTCAAATAAATTAATAATTAGTCATCTTAATCATAATGCATTTATTAATTTACAATAAATATTGCATTTTAAATAAATAATATTAATTTATACATTATATAAAATATTGTTTTTATGTAAATATAAAAATAATTTTTATTTCATGTAAATTAATTAGACCATCTTTATCATAATACATTTATATTTCAAATAAATTTACATTTTAAATGAATAATAATAATACCTTTGTATTTATATTCAAAAATGTATGAATTTTATTTAAAAAAAATGTGTGTGTGTGTGTGTGTGTGTGTGTGTGTGTGTGT